TCTATAAGTCATCATGTCCGTGCTGGTATATGGCCCAGAAGCATGGACAATGCCAACATCCGATGAGGTAGCTCCTGGAGTATTAGAAAGAAAAATTTTGCGGAAGATTTACGGGCCTTAACGCGTTGGCGACGGCGAGTAGCGTAGCCGATGAAACGATGAACTGTATGAGCTTTACAACGACATGGAAATAGTGTAGCGAATTAAAATACAGCGGCTCCACCGCCTTTACCATGTCGTTCGAACGGACACCGACGCTCCANTCAAAACTTGCAATATTAAATTTTTAAATATAAAATTTGCAAATCTACTGTACTGCAATTTTATTTTTTAATGATATTAGANGGAGTATTAGAAAGAAAAATTTTGCGGAAGATTTACGGGCCTTAACGCGTTGGCGACGGCGAGTAGCGTAGCCGATGAAACGATGAACTGTATGAGCTTTACAACGACATGGAAATAGTGTAGCGAATTAAAATACAGCGGCTCCACCGCCTTTACCATGTCGTTCGAACGGACACCGACGCTCCAGCTCTGAAAGTTTTGTGACTTTGTTGAACTCGGCCAAAGAAGAAGAGAAAAGATCTATAACTTTATTAGTCACACAGTGTTATAATCCCGACGAAATCCTTGACGGTGGTACCGGAAGGGGAACGGTACATGACGGTAGGAAGTTTAGTTTGGGTTAAAGTCTCACACTGACGGGGTTAGGCTTTCGATGCTTCCTCCTCGTAAAATAAACATGCACAGTAAAAAGTTAACTATCTAAATCGACGACTAGTTTTATATCAACTTTTGTGAACTTCTGCTTATGTGGTTTTGGACAACATATTAACCTCTATTGGTTACAATAATTTTAAGCCATAATAAACAATTTTTTAGTAAGTTATTGGTTTTGAAATTTTTTTTTTTGCATAGGCGCCTCCCCTGACTGAACAAAAGCAACATCGAAACTGGGGCGTTGAACATTACTACAGAATCCCATACCATATTCCACTTATCGATATGAACATAACTCATCGTGGGAGTCGTTTTATTAGAAAGAAATCTATGTTTGAAAACTTCAGTGCTTTGTTCCCGAAAGATGAGTAAAACTTCGATAAATGCAAGAAACTTTATTAATTTTATGAAAGCGTTCTCAGGTTTTCCGAAAATAAGAATGCTTCGGAAGTCAAAATGTTGAGAATATGAGCGGATGGTCAGAATTTCAAACACGTTTTTATGCAATTTACGTGGGCGTAATTTTGATATTCGACTACAGTATATTTGTGCGATATTTCTTATTAATCTGGGTCTTTTTAGATGAAATCATGCTTTCGAAGTGCGATTGGTGTGAATGGTCCTTGACCATTGAATATTTATTCTGATATATGTACCTCTTTCTGAAGAGTGTTTAAAAAACATGGAAGATTATATGTAGATAAATAGCTTATGGAAATATTTGTATCTCCCCCGTAAATCTGCCGGTGATATGTACATATAAGTTTTGCACACAATTTTTACATCGATGGTAGCGACAACATGTCAAATCATTTATACCTAAATATGTACATACATATGTACATACGAATGTATATATAAGTGTAATACATACATAAGTGTAATACATACATATACGTGTGTATATTGTTGTTAACTCATTTTACAAATATGTAGCTTCATATCGCAAATTCTTTACTTGAATATTCTTTATTTTTGTCTTTTGCAGGATCTCTACTTAGCGTTGAGCATTAAAACTAAAGCAACAGCTAGAACCTCGAAAGCCACAAACTTCCAAGGCGTTACAACAACCGGTTTAAAACTCTTGGGAAATACTGCTGCGGTATGTAAACTTAGGTTGTATGTTCATTTATAAATTTTAACTGCGCTTAGGTGAAGGAAATTAAAAAAATCAATCCGTTTAGGTATCTTTTAGAATTTCACCAAAAATACCGAATAGTGCAAAGAGCACTACAGAAATTAAGTCATATAAACACCCAGACGAATTAAGACGCGACCACCATGACTGAGACAGGCGCAGTACACGCGAATGTGAAGAAGAAGAGCTCCAAGATAGTTGAAAATCAAAAACTGACGACCTACAGCTTACAGTTGCTGTTCATAGATGGGGTCGAGAATTAGTGTGTTAATGTGGATGTGTTTTTTGGCTTTGGCCATAAAAACAATTTTCCAACCGTTTCGAATTGTGCACAATCAAGAGTCGGGTAGATGATTACTGGAATATGGAAAAATAATAAAAATCCAGACAAAACAGAATACAAACAAAATGCCGAAATGGCAGTCAAAAATATGTGCATAATATTAACCCGATTGCAATGATGTATGGAGAAGTTTAAATCTGCCACAAACACTATTTTTTTGGGTTTTAAACAGCTGTGACTTTAATTTAATTTACACTCTAATTAATACTAGGTGGTTCTAAATAAAATTGAAACTGGGCTCGCTTTTGAGGTGGCGGTATAAACTGTATTTTGCGGCAATATTAGCCTTTGCTCTTTCGGCACCATTTCGATTTTATGACCTCAAACAATTCTCATCACTTCTTTTCCATGCACATATGATTTGTAAGTTTGTTTGTTTGTATGTACATATGTATCTTTATATGTATAAAATAATACTTTTATGTACACTACAGGCGACACAGTACACAAAGGCACAAGTGTCGCTTAGGGAAAATTGTATTAGTATTAAGCGCCAAATTGTTATTTCTTCTATTGGCGCTGGTCGTTAGCTGGCCTGTGGTGTAAAACGTACACATATTTATGTACCATGTACTTAAGTATGTATGAAAATAGTAAGTGCATACAGCAAGCGCCAGGATGGAGTATTAAAACTGGCCATAAATAAAATGAAGTACTTCGACTACATGATTTCCCTGTTAAGAGCGCAAAATAACAAAAAGGAAAGAAAAATGAAAGTAAGGGCGGAAGCTTAGGGGTACTGATGAATCTAGATATGCAATAAGTTTAAGAATACCTTGATGATCTTTGTAGATGCATGCATGTATGTATGTATGTATGTATGTATGTATTAGGATTGTTAATCCCGGGATCCCGGATTCCCGGACTTTTTAAGGTCTCGAATATCCCGGAATTCTTGGGATTTGTAATTTGCACTGATGGAAATAATAGAAACTCCTTTTTTTACCAGAACTGGCTATATATCTTTTTATACCCGAGCGCACTTGTGCACAAGGGTATATTAATTTTGTTCACATAACGGTTGTTTGTAACAGCCAAAACGAATCGAGATAGATATAGACAAATGTATACATAAATGATCAGGATGAAAAAAGAAATCGATTAAGCCATGTCTGTCTGTCCGTCTGTCCGTCCGTCCGTGTACACGATAACTCGAGCAAAAATTGAGATATCTCAACGAAATTTTGTACGTAGGTTTCCCTTAATCCAAGGTAGGTTGGTATTGAAA